TTAATTTTTATTTCAGAGATAATAAATATCGTATTTTAACTTCACTACCATCAACTTTAAGCACATGCAATATAACACGAACATTCAATTGCTCTAAGCATATGGTAAATGTTGCCAAAAAATTGCAAAAAGAAAAAGGCATTCTATCAGTACCCGGCGTCAAAAACGGACGAAATCTTTCGAGTGATAACATAGATTTAATAACCCAATATTACCGAAACGACGAAAATTCAAGGCAATTGCCTGGGATGAAGGATTACGTGACTATCAAAAAAGATGATGGAGCGAAAGAGAAAGTTCAAAAGAGACTTGTTTATTGTAATTTAAAAGAACTTTACCAATCTTTTAAATTAGAATTCCCGAATTGCCAAGTAGGTTTCTCTAAATTTGCCGAACTTCGTCCCAACGAATGTGTTCTGGCAGGAGCTAGCGGAACACATACAGTTTGTGTGTGTATCTTTCATCAAAATGTTAAACTTATGATCGAAGGTCAGAAAATAGAATTTGATTTCAGAAACCTTAATTAGTTTGATTTACACTTCTTAAGAATAAAAATTATCGTAATAATTATAATTATTCTAATATTTCTAATTATTATAATAATAATATATTATTATTATTATTATATTAATTAGAATTAATAAAATAAATATAATTATTAATAATAATTATAATCAATTATCTGTTTATAGGCTCGGATTTACAAAATTTAACCAAAACTTGGGAAATTCCAATAAAAGGAAAAAGTTCGTACAAGGAGCTCTTTAAATATCTGCTATGTCTAAATCCGATTATCAAATGTTACGAAGGTCAGTGTGCTTTATGTCCCAGCAATGATATTCTAAAAGAAAAACTAATCGACGCATTTAATAATGACTTAGTCGAGGAAGTGAATTACAAACAATGGATATCAACAGATAGGTAAATATTAAGTTATAGTGTAAATTTATGTTGGTTTTGATTTATTACTGTTTTTGAATTAGGTGCTCTCTGAAAACTTTGAACGAAACTATTGATGAATTTGTTCCATCTTTAATAGAAAAATTGACCAAACTACTTTTTCACGATTTTATCGCCACTAAACAGTCTCTGCATTTTAAAAATGTAAAGAAGAATTTAGAAGTTGGCGATTTCGTGGTAACTCTCGATTTTTCAGAAAATTTTGCATTTGTTGTTCAGGAAGCAGTCCAAGGATTTCACTGGAACAACAATCAGGCAACGGTTCATCCGATTGTCATATATTACAAAAATCGTGAAACAAATGAAATTGAACATGTTTCTTATGTTGGCATATCGGATTGCCTTAACCACGACACTATTGCGGTATATACGTCTCAGAAAAAATTAATCGATTTTCTGAAAAGAAATTTTTTAATCGTCAACAGAATTATATATTTTTCGGATGGAGCACCTCAACAATATAAAAATAAAAAGAATTTTGTTAATTTAACCCATCACTTGACAGATTTTGGAGTTGAAGCTGAATGGAATTTTTTCGCAACAGCTCATGGAAAAGGAGCCTGCGATGGCGTTGGAGGCACATTAAAACGAATAGCTCGAAGATACTGTTTACAAAGTGGAACCAGAAATGAAATTTTGACCGCGCAAAAACTTTATGAATGGGCAAAAGAAAATTTTAAAAATATAAACGTTTTTTTTTATTCAACGGCCGATTATGAACTTGCAGCTGAGTTTCTCACGTTAAGGCATAAAAAGTGCAAGACGATCAAAGGAACTCAGTCCATTCACTTTGCATCGCCAATTAATAAGAACACCCTTAAAATTAAATTGTTTTCGGAAAGTTTAACTTCTGATATTGTTTACACAGAGTAAAAAAATATTTGCTAATTTTAACCAAATATTAATAAGATTTTTTGTTAATCTAGATCTACATAACTTTTGTTACGTTTACAACAAACTATAATCTGTTAACTAAGTACACAGTTTTAAAAGTCATATTTATTGATATCAGTTTTTAGTTTTTTAATTTTATATTGTAAAAAGTTTAACATAATTCTTTGTAAACGTAACATAATTCTTGGTAAATGTAACATCACTCCAAAAGTTATTTGGACCTAGATTAATAAAAAAATATGTTATTAATTGGTTAAAATTAACAAATATTTTTACTGTGTAAATAAGTAGTTTATTAGCTATTTATGTATCAAGGGCATTACGTAGGCTTTAATGCCCAAAGGCGAAACTAGCCCGAGGGCCTTTGGCCCGAGGGATAGGATTTCGCGTGATGGGCATACAATGCTTTATTTTCTACTTAAAGATTTATGTTTTTATCAAAAATTTAAATAATAAATAAACTTGTCAAATTTCCTACTGTCACTGTACCAAATGTTGACTTATGTCAAACAAAAATTAATCAAAATTTTATTTAAGAAATTCCGCAAAATATTTTACAAAATGCAGCCAAGGCTACACAAAAGTTATTATTTATTATAGTCAGTGATTGAAAACAACAAATTTTCTGCAGCTTTGGCTGCATATTGTATGATGTTTTGTAGATTTAAATTTGCGGGCATTATGATAACGCCCGGCTATAACGCCCTGTGGTTGTTATAGATACGTTTACTTATTTGATTTGCAAGGTGTTATGGATCAATAATAGATAAGTAGAAAATAAAATAATTACATACATTACATATTCGGTAAAATGTTTTTCTTGTTAAAATTTTCACAAATCTGGACTGATATTAACAAATATTATTTATCTTACAGTGCACTGCTTGGCTTATCGCTTGTAAAATATTTTGTATTTTTTTAATAATAAAATAAATGTAATGCAATGAATTTAGTCTTTTAATAAAATATAATTAAAATAAATACTACATTTAACTCAATGAAACAATCTCTTTCTCCGTTTGGCGAAGCGAAGTCGCTCGGAGCCATTGATCGCGGGAGTAACGATTTCACGCATCGCATCACAAAAAAATTCATAACTTCTACAATTTTTGAGTCCCCCCAAAAAGTAACTAGTCAAAATTTGCGCAAGATTCAGGGCTATCACCATAAATTTTTTGAAAAATTTTTGAGATGGCATTTTTTGGATAATTGAATTTGTTTAAAAAAAAATGATTTTTTTAATGAATTTTTAGGTTAAAATTTTTGAAAATTTTTTTTTCTTAAAGAGCGCCCAAAAATATGTACATCTAAATTTATCTCGAAATTTTCAGTCGTTTCAGTTTTTTAATATTCGAAAAATAAGAAACGTGACATTTTTTTTTATTTATTATATAAAATCCACAAAAATGCATAAAAAAAATTAAAATTTTGGATTTCTCCTTTATTTATGTTCCTCTGTCGGCCCTGAAAATTTAAAGTAAATCGGAAACATGAAGTGTGAATCTTGGCCGATTTGGCGTGGATCGCCCCATATATACATGGCAACGGTAAGATTTTCAGTGCTTTAAAATATGGTCTGCAAGAATCTCTATTGTTTATGTTTGTCATAGCCCTGATGGCTTGTTTTTGTAAAATAAAGACTCTGGAACATTCTGCTCCAGAAGCCCAACACATTATACCGTAAGATATTATGGAATGAATTTGCGAAAAGTAAAAGGTTTTTAAAACGAACATACAAACATGAGCTTTTAGTTGTCTTACAATGAAACACAATCTGGCCACTTTTTTACAAACTACATCTATGTGCGATTTCCAGTTCAGCGTTTGATCTATTTCTAGTCCAAGAAATTTGTGGGATATAACTTGCCTTATGGATAAATTGTTATATCTAACCAACATACTATGGTCCGTGTTTGACCTCAATGAAAATTTTATAAAAGCAGTTTTTTCAGAATTTATTAATAAGGTATTACCACTAAACCAGGTATCCAACATGGAGACTGCATTTGATAAACCATTTTGAAGGGACTGTTCTGTTTTACCTGAGTACATTATAATGTACTCAGGTAAAACAGAACAGTCCCTCTATAGAGTCGTATCGTCAGCAAACATGACAATCTGGCCAAGATTAATAAAGTTGGGAAGATCATTTATAGATAAAAAGGGCACCACATGATATTTTACCAACTTGCCCATATCGAGGATTTATTCCGAATATTGCCGAACCGTTAAACTTTTTGTACTCGACATCTTTGTGTTAAGTTAACATAACCACTTCTATAGTGGCACTACATATTCAAATTTATTGCCATATATATATAATGCTGCATTATAATTATGGCAATAAATTTGAATATGTAGTACCACTATAATAGTAGTGGTTATGTTAACTTAACACAAAGATGCCGAGTACAAAGAGTACCTACTTGAGTATAACAAAAGTACTCCAGTACATCAAATGGACTCGAGTACAACAAAAGTACTCGAGTACATCAAACGTACTCGAGTACAAAAAATGTACTCGAGAACAAAAAATGTACTCGAGTACAACCAATGTACTCGTGTCCATTTTTACATTTTAAAATTAAATAAGTACAAGTACTTTTTTTAAATGTTCTCTGGACTATGTTCCGAGTACATAAAAAGTAATTAAAGTAAATAAATTAAGTACAAGTACTCGAGTACCGCACATCTCTGATCTGGTTGCAAAAAAGACCAATGGATCTAAGCCAAATTAACAGAGTCAACACAACGCTTCTGTGTCTTATTGAATGAATGAATGAATTATGCATATTTCATAATTGGAATAAATGCAAGAAAGTTATCAATACTTTTAACCAAACAAAGTAGAAACTTCCCAACTTAAGGAAGAAATAAAAAATTCGTAAAATCCGCTGGCATCCAAAACGTCAAAAATGTATTATATTTGATATAAAAAAGATTATATTTATTTTGAAGAATTTTGTTTTAATACTGTGTGTTTTTTCAATTCAAGTTTCTTTTGTATCACCCTTAAGATCCCCCCGATTTATCATCGTTACTTTTACGAGGTTTCCTCCATTACTCTCTTTTTATGGGAAAAACTTATCTTTATCTTCCAATAAAAAATAAGCAACATAAAAGCATTTCGTATAATTTCTACTTACATTCGAGTTTGTCCTCGGGTCGTCCAGCTTCCAGCAGCGAAAGATAACAAACGATGTCCTTCAAGGATACCTTCAAAGCGTTCACGTCCAGTGCGCTGGCCTTCCTCACTATATGTCTGACTGACTCTAAAAACAGAAAACACGTTAGTTAGATAAACCCCTACGAGTGAATTAAAAAGTTTTACTATTATGTAGGTACTTTCGCAGTAAGGAGAGATAACGAAACTAAAAATATGTGCAACTACTTTTTTGTACAATGGATGGTGCAAAAGTCCTTAGAAGTCAAGTCTGATATTTTTTTGTGTGGGGTGAGTGGACAAAACTATTATCATTTTATTGAAAAAGACAAGATTTTTTGTATAATAAGTATACTTCCAATTACACTGTGCGACCACTTTTTATGAAAAACTAGAGTTGAGGTAAAAACAACTAAAATAGATTCTTTGTGATTTTGCGAGGTACATGTGTGTTTATAGATAAAAATAAATTTTCTAAAACACTTGCAGGCCACGATCGCAAATGTCAGTAAAATGACACTTTTTGACATTTAACAGGATGATAAAGCTTTACCATGGCTGTGATGTTGTTTACTGCCGCAAGGTAATACCAAATATCTGACATCTGTCAGACGGTTTTAACCTCACTTTCTTTAAATTTTAAAGGTCATTATAGACGCCCCTTGTATACTATCATTAAATCTGTCAACGCTCAGACGGTTTTCCCCACTTAAATTGTTTTTTCATTATTCATGAAAAAAAAGAGTAGTTTATGCAGAGTATAGTGACTTTTTGAGGCTGTATATATGATTATGCTAATTTTTTTCTTTTTTTATTATCTTGGTTACAATTTGTTACTATTATCTTACTTCGTCAAGATATGTAGCATGTAGAGTAGCGAAATTACGCATTTTGTAAAGCTGATGTTTTGGAAACATATTTTAATTTTTTTTAATATTTGGAACGAAAACCTTAAAAATAATTTTTAAATTTTAAAAGTAATGAAAATTTGTAGTTTTCATAAATTAACTTTTATAAACATTTAATTGTTTAGAGCTCCATTACACGATCTAAACTCAATAGTTGTTTTTACCCCTACTTTAATTTTATGTTGCACAGTGTTATTTTAATTATTTTAACATTTGAACTTTATTTTGTTATATTACGTTACTTTCTTAATATTTAAATACAAAGGAAAATTAAAGTTTATCACCATCGTTGTCAAACTATTTTTAGCATGTCAACCAAGGGTTTTCCATTAAAAGGTTTCATTTGTCGCTTTTTTTTTCTATCAATAATAGAGTTGTAATTATTTAAAAAAGTCCTTTATATTAAATTAGGAGGTGCCATCAATCATGGTATTTAATATAAAAATTTTAATTATGAAAGATGAAAATTGCGTTAAAAATATGTTTTATTCGGTGGCAATATTAATATTATATAGTCAGAATTATTTTATTTGATCATACAAACTACATAAAATATAATTTACCTAAAAACGCACAACACTCGCTGAGCAAAAGTTTTTGCTTAAAGTTTTTAAAATTAAAACGTATACCTCTTAATGAAAAACACAAAATTTGGTGCAATTGAAAGCAATATTGACAGCTACTGACAAAAATTAACTAAACTCTGTTGTAAAATATTAAAATATTTAAAAGAAATAATTTTGCCGTTTCTCATTAAAATTATAAATTTATGAGGATGTAAATTATAAAAGTCGATTTAAAAAAATATAAATGATTTCGGACGTTTCGTAGAAATTGTATATTTTAAACTATGGTATATAAAATATGATACCTACATAAAAAACATAAAAAATATTATGATAAATAATATGTTGTAAAATATATGTAATTAAAACATAATAAACAATAATTATGTTCCTTCTCAGTCTACAGTCCAAATAAAGTTTACAAAGTAAACAATATTTTAACAAAAACATGTTACATTTTTATTATTATATTATAAACTTTCTTAAGTAAACTATACTTTTGCCGCCCCAAGTAGAATAATTCTTTCCTTTGACATATTGCGCTATTTGAAAGCACATAAAATAAATTATTTGCTTGAGACGGAAGGTGTTAAATTTTGAATTTGAGAGAGAAAAAAATATAACACATTTTATCTGAAATAAATAAATAAAAACAATCCAAACAAAACTAGCTGAAAAAAAACAATGTAATGATTGATGGACAACAGAATGACAAAATAAGAAAAGTGGAAAACTCAAGGATAGAAAAAAAGAAATTCTTAAGAAGAAAAAAACAAATAAATCTATTATTCAATGCATACATACATTGAAAAAGTCAGAAAAAAGCACCCAAATGACATTGTGGACAATCAGATATATTAGCATCCAGTTGAATCGCTTACAAAAACGTCTTGTTTGAGATTATTTACAATGTCGCTTCCATGCTTTTCCTTCCGATCTTATCAAATATATCTAGATGTATACATTAAATTAAGGAAATATATGGAGTGGTTTTGGGTACCTTCGAGTTTTCCATTGTTAACTAAAAGTAGCGAGTTATTGGATTTTTTGGAGGAGTTTCTCGATATCTGACTGTGCGACGGCGACGAGTCGGTGCTTTTCTTAGCCAGCACCTCGTGACATGAATACGACGTGGGCGTTATTGTTAATACCGGGTGTACGGTGCCTGCAAAAGCAAATCAATACACAATTCTCTACTTTAATTTACCGATCAGTAGACTTAGGTAATACATTTACGAATAAATGTACAAATATACTTTTTATTTATAAATACAACCAGTAGACCAGGCACAATTTTTTATTATCCCAATATAAAGAGGGATATTTTTTAACATTTTGTTCACATGTTTAAATATTTTAAACGTCTAAAAGTACGCAAAATCGCTAGAGCAAATTACGTATAGACTTTTTTGAGCCACAGTAAGAAAACCAACCGCATTATATACAGTGTATTTCCTTTTAAGTGTGGAAACTAGGGTGGAGTAAAATACATGATGGTAACCATTTAATATGCCTATATTGGCTATAGCCATATAAGTAAAACCCTTGATGGTAAAAATTTAATATGACTATATTGGAGAGAGTGGTGTCCTATTGCCCACCTTTTTAAAGTTGAGAAGATAAAATATGCACTTTAAGGAGGTGGCGGACCCTCCAAACATTGTACGATCAAACTCATTTTCCGAATATAGGCGTATTAAATTTTACCATCATGTATTTTTCTCAGCTAAAATAGGCATATTAAATTGTATAAATAGGCATATTAAATTGTAATGTATTTCACTCCACCCTAGTGGACACCTCTGTAACTTTTTTATTTATGTAGGATTTTGCTCAGCTAATATACCTAGGCATATTAAATGGTTACCATAATGTATTTCACTCCACCACTTTTTATTTTCAAAAACTTTTTTCCCATTATAGAAAATTACTGAGCGTAATGTGTATAAGCATGCTTATTGCAAATTGTTCAAAACCCAAAACCCAATTTACCACGATTTAAAAAGCAGACCAAAATTAAAAAAAAAACAGGTTAGTTTTTTTATTGTAAAACTGACTACTTCGCGTTTAGTACTATCACAAATGCCATCCAAAATTTTATGAAAAACAAAAAATATTTAGCTGTTTTTTTCGAAATCACGAAAAGTTAGATTAAACTTTATTTTATTAGCAAGAGTGTGATGCAGTGGCGATTTTGGGTATACCGATATCTCAATTATTAGATATGGGACCCACACCAAATTTATATGAGTTTAAAATGACATTAAATAAACAATTTAAATTGAAGTGTGCAAAAAACAGATAACTTTTTGCTCGGCCGTACCGGTCCCATGCGCACAGATGTCATTTTATTTTTTGTAGAAATTAATATAAATCAAATAATTTATTTTATGCTATAATATTAAAGAAAACATTCCAAAGAAAAATATTTTTAAACGTACTCTTTTTTGCTTATTTGAGTTAGCCATAAATATAGTTGAAATATTAGAAAAAATTATTGACAACTTGGCCTTTGGTTTTTTTACATTATGTTGTGTTGTTTAAAAGGTGTATTTCTGTTTTCTACTTGCAGTCTTTTAAATTTGGATTTTCTTATCTTAGAGAGCAAGGTAAGGGCTTTAATATTTAATATAAAGTTATTTAAAAAATATGCGCATATGTAAAAAAGATTATTAAATGTTATTGCATGCATTTTTTACCATTTTTTAAAATTACATTAAATTTCAAAAGCTACAAATTGTAATATTAAAAATATTTGCCATAAAAGTATTTTTTATACTTAAATTGCTGTATTACCTTCTTGCTAATTATACATTTGGGTGCCAAGTGCCAGGTGCTTTAAAAAAAAAATTTAGTCAATAATTAAAAACGACATATTTGCCGCCTGATGCGGGTAGAGCTTACTTGGAGATAAAAATTCGTCTGTTTTTAAATTTGGTTTAAGAACGCTCAACTACATAATGATTGAGGGGATAATCAATACGATGTGGTAGCGAGAGAAATTAATAATTAATACATAACGCTCTTGCTATATGAGTAAGGTATATACTTTTATGTAAATAATAATATTGATAAAAAAAAAGTTGGTGATTGTATTTTTTCGGAAATACTAATTGTAGTATATCTTCAACAATATGCACTAAAGTCCTATATCTTTTTGCAGCATGAGTACCAAAAAACGTCTGACGGATGAGAAATTTGCTACATATTGTTTTTTTGCTTTTTTTTAAATAAGTTTTTCTATTCGATTTTGATTTTTTGAATTATTTTTCCAATGTTATATTAGTCACTTGAAAACGTTTCACGTATATTTTGTACAAAAATAAAATCATATGCATTTAAGGATCCTTATTCGAATAAATCCATAATTTTTATTGAAGTGTTAAATGTAGGACCTGCACCTGGGTCCAGCAGAGGTAGACCATAAAAATTATTTAAAGATCTCGACAACCTAAGAAAAAGACAAAAATAAATGCCATTATTGGATAACTATTCAACGAAACAGCTTACATTTGCTACTCGTAAAAGTCTAGAACCTTCAAGTCAACGAAATGCTTCAAATATAAATATGGCCTGGGGATCAGACCATGTTTACCATATTTTGGGGTCGCTAAACCGAATTTGGAGCCTGTTTA